TTTGAGGACCGAGACATTTACAGGGAAACCAAAATGCTTGTTTACAAACCTTACTGTACGCTTGTAAAACAATGGACCACTTATAAACGCCATCTCCCATTCCCAAAAGATTCCATCAATGGTGTCTCCAAAAAATTGTACATATCACTTGGGAAGACAGGCGAACTAATGTCAGGGTACTGGAAGATCGCCAGTGTTGAAACAATGGTTCTTCAACATCAACTTCTTTGGACTGGTCATGTTGTTTGGATGCCTGATTATCATCTTGCAAAGCAACTACTCTATTCCCAACTCAAGAACGGAAAACGTAAAGCTGGTGATCAACAAAAGAGGTTTAAAGACTCTCTCAAGGCAAATCTTTAAAAAATGTAGTATAAACATCCACAATTGGGAGACACCGGGCTGCGGGTGCTCCAATTGGAGAACAGCTTTACCAAAGGTGTCTTGGACTTTGAAGACACTTGAACTTAGGATGAAAGGGAAAAATGAGCTAAGAGGAATGCACGCTTGGCAAACCCTCACTGGAAACCACGTCCCCACTGTGGAAGGATGTGTAGATCCAGAATTGGCCTCCACAGTCACCTACGGACTGTGTTCATGGAAGATAATCTTACTCAGCTACAAGTGATCACCAAAGAAGAAGAAGGTGTAAATTGTGTCAGAACCTCCTGGCCCTGCTATATTTCCCAACCCCAACTCTTTCCCACAGTGTTGCTGCTAAAGGAACTACACTCCTTTCCTGCTTCAGAAAGGACTAATGGTCCTTTCAGAAAGGACTAAAAGGTGGGGGTATTTGGTTCAATTCTACATAAAACCATAATTTAAACGAACTCCAGTTTCCCAAGTTTGGATGCAGCTGGAAACCCTGGAGAGTTTAAACCCAGATGGGTCTGATCGCCGCCTCCTGGCATGCACCAAAGGAAGAGAGATGAGAAGGCATGAGACTCACTGTGGATCATATAGAGAACACCAACCATGGCTTAGCTTTACCACCAACCATACTTTAGCATTATATCTGAACTTTCCCAAAGAGGTATATATGTACGTGCATTTTGTCATCTGCAAGTGTGTGCTCTCAGTTTAGTTTAGCCTTTCACACATGGAGCACACAGTCATGAAGCCGATCTGTAAGTTACAGCACTAAAAATGAGCTCACTTGAAATGCAGCCAGAAGACAAGAGCAGAAAGGATGTCTTTTAAAATTAGTTATTTGTCTTGCTCTTGGCAACAGAATGACCTGCTCGCATGCAGCTTACATTTCTATTGCTTAATTCTTTATAGTGTTTCTACTGAGTTGTCAATAACTAAACACCGGTTTTTATTATTCCACTATAGTTACCACATACCTTCTTTGCTTTTCCTTTTTAACCTGAAGCGGATAATAATTACTTTTGGGGCAATAAAAGCCCAGCCCAGTATAGACACATAAAATGGATTGAAAGTATGCATTTGCTTGCAACTCAGCGTGGTTACAGCATGACTGCCAAATAGATATATTTTTAATCAATGGGCCAAATATTTATGGCAATTGAATTCTTCTCTCTTCTCGCAAATTAAGCAGAACTGGTATATAAAAGAGCCTTGCCATCAATGGGGATCTGCGATCTTGCTTACATTCATTTTAGATGGAGACATCTAAAATATTATCATGACTGTTTTCAAAACTCAGCATCTTATTCTCCTGCTTAGGAGTTGAATGTATACCATTTACCCATATGAGAGAAAATAAAGTTTGTGGGTGAGGTTAATTTAAATTTACTCAATCCGGTACAGAATAAATCTGTGGTATGCACAACGTTGTTCCTTACTTAACTCACACTACATTATTTGGGAAGAGTTCCATGGTACTACTATATCTTGATTAAAAAACAACAACATGTTATAAGGATGAGACATGTGTATCGCTGACCTCATTACAAAGCTCAAGATTTCATTTGTCAAACAATCCATCCCTTCTGGCTGCTGAACACAGTTACATTTTAAAAAAAGAACATTTTAAAAGCTGGAATGAAAGAAATGAAGACTAATTTCAGTAGTCCTGTTTCCTTCATCTTTCATTCCACCCTGAGCTCTATGTCTATTTTTGATCATATTTTACCCTTTATTTTCACCTTCCAGCTTTGACCTTCACTGAACTATACTCTGTGTGAAAAGCTGTTAGCCCTTACATTACATTACTTCCTTCTCTGCTGAGCTGTAAAATTTTGCCCCAGGCTACAAGGGTAGTCATTAAGATCAGGTTTAGCAAGCCTTTCCCCTTTGCATGAATTGTTTAATCTGGAGAAACTCTAAAAAGTAAAGTCGCGGTGTGTTAAAATGTCAGCTTTGAATGTTCCAGATGTGTGCAGCCTTCTGGATATACTAGCATGTCCCTTCACTTTGGCAATTCAGTATTTTTCTTTTTCGTACTGCTTGGAATTTCAATATGAAATATATAGGAAGTGCACAGGTAGATTGAATAGGCAGATGCAATGTGGTGTAGCATGTCTGGACTCAGCCACGCCCAGTCAATTATATCATTATAACTGCGTTATAAACATGCGACACAAGAGGGCGGTGTAGAGTTTGATCCTTCCCCAATGGGATTTTCCATTATGAACTTTGCAACGCATTTTCCTGTAACGTTTTTTTACAAATGTGTCTAGATCCAGCCTCGGACTAGGACCTGGCAAACCAGGGTTCAAATTCCCATGCAGCCACGAAGCTCACTGGGTGTGACTTTGGGCCACTCACCAACTTTCAACTTAACCCACCTCGCAGGGTTGTTGTGGGGATAAAATGAGGAGGGGGATAATGAAGGTGGGTTATAAATGCAATACATTATATCTCAAGTGGCTGCAGCATTTGAACAGGAGATATTAGCTGGTTGGTACCAGGCCTGGGAAGGATCTGTAAAGTGTCACAGCAGAGCCCAGTTCTAAGAAACACAGAGAATAAGGGAGTTTGCGGAATGCCACCTCTGGATTAGCCTGGCCTGATATGAATGTGAAGCTTTTTCTCAACTTATGTTCTTGCTCAGTCAACAGCCAGATGGGCCCCTGAGGTGGAAAACATACTGTCCAGGGACTGTGTCCAGCAGGAGAGTCTCAGTCCTTACAGGACTTAACCGGAACTTCTGCTGTCTCAAGAGACAGTAACACAGAGCAGCAAGCAAAGCACTGAGATGCTTAGGAACTCACCCCAGGGGAGGATTTTCTCCAATCTCCCACTGCAGAAGCTCCCCTGAAACCATGTACACTCTGGGATAGAGTAAGTCCTCCAAATTCCTAATAAGTTTATGAATTGTGGTAGTTGGGACAACACTCTTGAGATTAGTTGCATGATCAGCAGTGCTGACAAAACTCACAAGTAACAAGCTCATCTTCTCTCCTTGCAATACTTTTTTTTTTTTAATTCTGAATCAGGAGCCATTACCTGAAAGTCTGTAATTAATGACATGTATTTTGAGCTGATGTCCTACTTTTGTGTCTGCTCAATTGGCATTCAGGCAAAGCTGAGAGCCACTGTTGGCAGATGCTCAGAGCTTGATTACTTTAACCCCTTGCTCCAAGAGAAATTGCCTTCCCTTCCTGTTAGCTGTGTTTTCCTCTTGCCTTAGCATGCCCATGGCAGGCTACGTATTTGACTTCCCAACCTGAGTCCTGCAGCTGGCCCCAACTCATGACTTCAGCTATGAGTGTCATGAGATGAGTCAGCTTCGCCAGCTGAACAGCAGCCTGAAGGGGGAGAAGGCAGAGTGAGTGCAGCTGATCAGCCTTAAAGAAGAACTGATGAAAACTAACTGGTTTCAGCCTTCTTAAACAGAGCTTCCAGCAGCTGTCGTCAGATGCTGGAAACAATGTCTGCCCCTCCTGGTCCTACCTTGCTGCTTCCCGCTCATCTTGACCCTTGACCCCATGATCATTGGGTTCCCTGACCCCTGAAGCATCTCACCAGGTGAATTACTGTTCACCCAACCCTAGGACTGGACCTGACTTTGGATGCTGTCTCTCCAGGCAAGTACACCTCAGAGACTCTTCTGGTTGGCTGCCCCCTCACTGGAATTCCCAAGTGGCACTGCAAGAATGTGTCATATGAGCTCCAACCACACATGATCTTATACATTGCCAGCTGTGGATGGGGTTGTACTGCCCATGTATGAGCAGGTTCTTGGTATAGGGTTGCCCTTGGGCCTCTAAGTGACCTCAGTGGCTAGGAGTGCCACCTTCTACCTACTTCAACTGGCAGGACAACCACAGCTGTTTCTGGACCGGGATAATCTTGACAATGCGGTACCCAGTGGATCAGTATGATGTCCTCCTCTAGACAGCATCTTAATCAGGAGGTCTGCTCCACACAGTGTATTAATCTGGCCTTCACTGTTCTGGCACCTTTGGAATTATATCCATTTGGATAGTAGACAGATAATTCCTCTGTTGCCTTCTTGGCACCTACTGAATCATAGAATCAAAGAATTACAGGGTTAGAAGAGACCCTGATGACCAGGGGTCAGCAAACTTTTTCAGCAGGGGGCCAGTCCACTGTCCCTCAGACCTTGTGGGGGGCCGGATTATATTTTGAAGAAGAAAAAATGAATTCCTATGCCCCACAAATAACCCAGAGATGCATTTTAAATAACAGGACACATTCTACTCGTGTAAAAACACACTGATTCCTGGACTGTCTGTGGGCGGGATTGGGCTGGATCCGGCCCCCAGGCCTTAGTTTGCCTACCCATGCTGATGACCATCAAGTCCAACCCCTTCAATACAGGAATATGCCGTCATCCCTTATGGTAATCGAACCTGCAACTTTGGCATTATCAGCAGAACGCTTTGACCAACTGAGCTGGTAAAACAAGTGTTTTATATTGAGATTTGTCTCTGTTTGCACCTGCATTAGAACCCGCCCCCCCCGCCCCCGATACTCTAAATATTTTTTTCTTTTCAGCTTTTGTTGTTTGCTGCCCTTGAAAGGAAGGCTGGGATAGATTTATATAATGATCCCACAAACATTAAGCGGATCATTTAATCCTTCACGTTTAAATCAGTGGGGTGTGAAATAATCCTTAAATTTAACACAATAAAAGTTATTAACTATTGAAAGTTTCTCTTTCCTTCTCCACAGTAAATTATTTCAGTGGTAAATTATTTTAATTGTACTCTTAATCAGATCTCTCTCCAACACAAATGCAACTAAGTTTCCTCCTTGGATCGCCCCTGTTGTAGAATGCTTTATGAAAAGAGTTAGTCTGCGGATGAGCTTGTATGCTGCCATCTTGTGGCCTCACAAGTTAGGGGTATTCAGTAACCCTCCTTATAATTACAGTTGATAAGAAAATACCTGGTTTTAATTGTGTGTTTTAAAATTTGATGTGATAATTAAAAACAACAACCCCCGACTTCATACTAGAGACATTAGAGGAAGTTGCTGTTGAATGGTCCAAGGTTAAATCTAGCCCAGGCTATGGGGAAATATAGTTTCGAAGCTTGTGTATTTGCAATTTTATTATGAAGTGATAAGGTCCTGTTTGCCTGGTGCCTGCAGCTGAAAAATAAATTCTGCAGCAATTCGGGAATATTAATTAGCATCTACTCTATGAGGGTATATGGCACGTGCTAGATCATTCTGTGTTTTTGTTTTTAGTGCTCATTCATAGCTGCACTTCTAGTTTTTAATGCTGCTTTTTGTTTTACATTGTATTTTAATTGCCGTGTTTGTTTTGCGAGCTTCCCACAGAACTTACATTATGAGTTGGTCATATAAATTCAGTAAATAAAATAAATAAGGGAGTCGGCAAATCATATAGCGCTTCGAGTGGACAGAGAACTTTACAGCCCTTTCCTAACTCAGCTCTGGCAGTATTAGCACAAACATTTGTGCTGAGTACAAAGCACAGTGGAGGTATTGCCCCTTCCATGCTGGACAAGATGTTGGAATAAGGTCTACCCATCTATGTCCAAACTGTGCAATCTGTTTCCATCAATACGAGGTAGGATGAAGATTATGTTGATTGGGCCTAATGCATATTGGCACGGTTCCAGTTGCACGCTATGCCCAGGTGTGCTGCAGAATAAGTGGAGTGAGATAGGCATAATTTTCTAAGTTTGAATTACAGTAGAGCCAAAGGGAGCCCAGCTGGTTTTGCTGCTAAAAGTTGGCCGAAATTCAAGGAATCTGGATCCTCGTCTTCTGGATTTCATTAAGGGGCTCCCTTGCCTTAAAAAATGAAGAACAGATCATTCTACTTCCCTGCCTCATTAGAAGCTGCACTGTTGAGCATTTGTGTGAATACATAGACATATATGAGGTAGATCCCTTACGCCCATCTTACAAATGGAAAGATGGACTGAGACACAGGGTTTATTGATATTGGGCATCCGTAACTGAACCAGCACTCGAACCAAGGGCAAGTTCCACTTTTTGAAACAAGGTGCCAGCCAGAATGCAGCCATCCCTTGAAACCCACATGTGGCTTTTGCCTCCTAGGTGGGTCATAAGGAAAGGGTTAAAATGAGTGTGATGTGATTGGCCAGTGGAAACTGATAGGAGGAGTTAGGGTTAGAGGGGGAGTTGTGTAAAAGTCAGTTGAGAGTTGGAGAAGAAAGAGGGAGGAATAGTCTGTGGGTTGGTCGAGTTGTGTTGTGAGAGGAATTGTTAGGTGGAGTCAGATAGATAGTTAGTTGGGATAATCAGTTTGAAGTTGTTAGGAACGAATAAGACAGTTAAGGAACAAAGATTAAGAAACTGCCAAGAAAAATTAACTGAAACCATAAGCTTGTTCATGCCTATAAAATAAATTTGATTATTTGTTAATGTTACCAACTGACTGGACTCCATGTGTACCCATGAGAAACGGGTTGGTGGCAGCGAAGAACGCAATTACAGTGGTGGCACAGGGTCATTAGATTGTCAAACGTCCAAGGGCCAAGATTTTGCAATGTAGTTCTCCAGCCAAGAAAAAAAGAAGAGTGGCATATGCTGAGGTATAGTGTGCATAAAAATGTGTATATTCATGAAAAACAACATACAAAAATGTGTTAGGAGAAAATGCTTTTCAGAAATATGTGTATTAAGCATACAAAAGTGTGCACATTAGGGGTAATTTGCCATAAAATGCTGGTGAATTTTGATGAGGGCTAATCATCATCACCACAAACCGATGTGGTAACATGGAGAACTGAATTTAAGAGTGAAACACTGAGAAACTGAAACGAACCAAAGTTGACATATTAGCTGATCACTGCTGAATATGCCCTCTGTGTTTGTCAAACATTTAACACATCTATGGTGATTCCGTTAAATATGTAGAAGGTGAAAGATCCCAGATAAATGGGACTAAATGTAACAAAATCTGGGTTTTGTAACTGATGCTGCTTCTAAGATGTCGAGTGGATTTTGGCCAGGTTTCTGATTTTCTGTATTTTGGCAAGAAAGAAAGTAATATTGTTTCCAAGAACAGATGGAGACATTTCACTACATCAAGTTCCCCAAAGGCTATTACCGAAACATAAAATGCACATAAGGGCCAAATGTTGGTGTTTACTATCATGGGTTTTTTTTTCCCCCTTAAGAGGAAGGGAAAGAAATCTTCAATTTTTAAAAAACAAACAAAACTGAGATCATTCCCACAATGATGCCACTTAATACAAATGTGCTCTACTTCTCTTCTTGCAGATATTATGTTCCAATCTCACATGCAGCACGTAATAATTCTTGTTTCATCCAGCTCCAATTGATATTATATTATATCAAGAGCGTCTGAGATTAAAGGAACAGTGGCGAGGATTTGCAGGAGCCCTTCACTTCAATGAACTTAACTGTGTACCTGGAAGCTTTTTCTTGCTTTCTCTGCTGAACCAGTTTATACAGGCAATGATTGATGTGATCACATTAGGGAATGTGGAGGGCTGCTGGTGGGTTCACGTTCTGCCCAGGTTCGCTGGATGGTGCTGATGTGTATATTTGTGAATCTGCTGTGGGATAATACACATGGCTGAATACTACACAACTGTGTTCGTTCGAAAAAGGGCCAAATAATGAATTCCGGATATATCACCTCTAAGCAGGTGGCGCTGTGGTCTAAATCACTAAGCCTCTAGGGCTTGCCGATTAGAAGGTTGGCAGTTCGAATCCCCATGACAGGGTGAGCTCCCGTTGCTCTGTCCCAGCTCCTGCCAACCTAGCAGTTTAAAAGCATTCCAGTGCAAGTAGATAAATAGGTACTGCTGCTGCGGGAAGGTTCTGTGCACTCTGGTTTCCATCCCGGTGTTCCGTTGCGCCAGAAGCTGTTTAGTCATGCTGGCCACATGATCCGGAAAGCTGTCTGTGGACAAACACCAGCTCCCTCAGCCTGAAGCGAGATGAGCGCTGCAACCCCATAATCGCCTTTGACTAGACTTAACCGCCCAGGGGTCCTTTATCTTTACCTCTAAAATGGCACCTCCATGCCATCCTGGTTGTGTGTCTTCTGATGAGTCACTTCACCTTAAACGTGATCATGTGGACATTATCTGGTATATGAACTAGACTATTGTTTACACTTACTTGCAATACCAATACAGCAATTGCTGCTGCTCAAGTCCCCAGCTGTCTAATTTTATGAATGATGCGGTAGCTTCCTGTTTGCTCTAGAAATCCACAAAACGTCCAAGCTGAATTGATGGCTGTTTGGGGGCCGAGGAACTCAAACGTAAATAAATATATAAGTAGAATTAGAAATGTCAGCACACGGAGAGGTGTGAGGAAGGAGCCTGACACCCATGACTGACGGCATTGCCATCAGTTAATGCACCGCCATTAACACAACATTGTCCCTCTGCTGCTGTTCATCATCTCCAGTGGCAACAGTAACTTAGAGAGAACGCCGGCCATCAAAGTACATTTGGGAAAATTGGCTCAACAGGCATGCTGTTTACAAGTGTCAGAGCTTTGATGTGACCATCTGCCTGTCTTTCTGTTCACCATTACCATCTTATAGCCCTGACTAACATCTGCATCTATTTACATGCACTTCAGATTTGCCCATAAGAAATGTGCACAGCAGAGCATGATATCTGCGGGAATCAGACAGCCCCTCCATTAATGGAACATGCAGTGGTACGCCATAACTGTCAGCACAGTCAATGGGTTGTGCCCGACATTGGGGGCGGGCTGATGTCACGCATGCAGTATGTGTGTGCATTATGTCACATGTGTCGCATGTGTGACAACTGTCTCATCGGGAGAGGCTGACCAGGCCTACTTGCAATGCAGTATTTGCCTGCCAGGCTGCACTGGTCTGCATGGCCTGTCCCACCACTTCACGGCCCAAGGCAACATCCCAACTTCTCAGCAGGCTGCACATACAGAAACTCCCTGGGCTGCATGGCATCTCCAACTTACTGCCAGGCCTCCTTGGCCCCCTCAAGATTGGAGGGTCTGAGCCCTATATCTGCAGTCAGGGGCGGGGGGCTGTAGAGGCCTCAGCCCCATGGAAATGGTGCCCCCGACTGTCAGAACTGCTGGACCTGTATGTAGATGCCCTGTGTGGTGAATCGCTGAACTGCAGCCTTCAGAGTAAAGAATCTTACAGACTGACTCCTCCTACCCAGGCTGGCCATTGGCTCCTTCTGTGCAGGATGAAGACATCCCAGATGAGGCTTTGTTGGCAAACAAGAGCTCCCTAATTTCTGGTGTGTTTATGCATCCTTCAGTCCTGCCTCCTGTTTTGTCTTTGTATCTCTGACTGATCCCACAGCCCTGGCCTCTCCCAAATCTCCTGCTTCCCAGCTCGCTTTAAACAGATGCCCATGATCCAGCCTTCATGACAGCCCACTGTATTTTTTGCAAAATATGCATAATTTTTCAATTTGCATGAAGCACATTTCCTTCAGAATAGATGGTTCTGTCCATTAATCCAAGTCATCCCATATGCCAAGCAAAATCTGTATATGACCCTTTAGTTTAAAATGTTGCCAATGTTGTTGGATAACTGCCTTTTCAGTGGAGATTATTTGAAAGGCTATAGTTAGCAAAAGACTGAGCAACGAAAACAATGGATTTTCTATCACCTACATGCAAGCCAGCATTTGACTATCACGGAGATGGATACTTTTCTATTAAAGAGTTGAATCTTAATGAAGCTGCAAGAAAACCACTTTGAGAGAGAAATACAGCAAAGTTTCTCACTGTGTTCTTTGAGTACGTGAGAGGGTGAGCTCAAGTGTTGAAGACTGGGACCTGTGTTCGTTTTAATACACTGATGTTTTATATACTTGGATGTCACCTAATTTATATTGCCTTGTTACATGAAGCATCAGTTCCAGGCAGTGCTATTTTTCTAGAAAAAGAGGTGCTGGAACTCACAACAAACACCTCCCTTGTTCTCTTATAATAGCAATGGCACCCACCTGAAAGGAGCCAGAAGGCTGAAAAAAAAACTCTGGTTCCAGGTACATTTTTGAAGAAAAATGTATGTGTCTTCCATGACATGAGTTTTGACCGCATATCAAATATAAAACATTGTCATTATAGTTATTTAACAATAATACTTTTATTTATGAATTGTTTCCAGTGAAGCTTCTTGAAGCAATAGGTGTAAATATAGCACCACATCAGCATAAGTTAAGTATACTGTATTAGAAAGTGTTGGACAGAAGTCACCAACCCGCAGGGCACTGGCCATATCAAATCCTTCCCTCCTTTGTGATTGTAGGTTTCTAAAAACAAAACAAAAAAACCCCCTGTTTCTAATGTTGTGACCCACCCCTGGACCTAGGATGAAGAAACCACCACAACAACATAATTGCAGTGAATGGGCAACATAATAATTAGTCTTTAGCACTGGGCATGACAGAGGCAAACAGTAAAGTTGGGAGTTTCACATATGACAACAGAATGACAGCACAGAAATGCATAGCAGTGTGCCATCAATGTCACAAGTAATAAGGGCAACCAAATTAGAAGTTCATAATACATACTGGCAAGCAGGCATTCTGTGCCATTTGAACTGAAACTGGTATCAAGGCATGACAGTTATATAATTGTGGCAAGGTGTCTTGTATTGTCAATTAAGCATTTGTAGAATGCCTTTAAGCTATAGTTTTCCCAGTAGTGATGTATGGAAGTGAGAGCTGGACCATAAAGAAGGATGATCACTGAAGAATTGATGCTTTTGAATTATGGTGCTGGAGGAGACTCTTGAGAGTCCCATGGACTGCAAGAAGATCAAACATATCCATTCTGAAAGAAATCAGCCCTGAGTGCTCACTGGAAGGACAGATCCTGAAGCTGAGGCTCCAATACTTTGACCACCTCATGAGAATAGAAGACTCCCTGGAAAAGACCCTGATGTTGGGAAAGATGGAGGGCACAAGGAGAAGGGGACGACAGAGGATGAGATGGTTGGACAGTGTTCTCGAAGCTACCAACATGAGTTTGACCAAACTGCAGGAGGCAGTGGAAGACAGAAGTGCCTGTCGTGCTCTGGTCCATAGGGTCACAAAGAGTCGGACACAACTAAACAACTAAACAACAGAATGCCTTTGTAACCCTGTGCTTTCTACTTTACCAGTAATCAGATTTTTCTGCTCATGGGTTCCACTCAATGCGATTTTATTATTTTTAAATCTAGTTTTATGCTGATTGTAGGGGACTTTTTGGGTGACTTGTGCAATGAGAAAGCTTTCTAATGCTTAAACAAACAAACAAACAAACAAACAAGGGGTGCAAAGCAATAGAGTAGGTGTTTCTTCCTCTTTTTGTTATTGATAATAGCTTGACCAGAAGTTTTGTTTCAAATTACACCATCATATGCAAATCCATTTTTTCATTACTTCTGGAAGGCTGGGGTACCCAATAGTACAGAAAACACTCACATTTTGCCTCTAAGTGCTCAAAGACATAAAGTAAATGAGGCGTGGCTATTGATTGTCTTTGGCTTACATTATCTGCACAGGAACTATTAAGAAGGCTTTTATATCTTTCTTTCATGCGTCATTTTCTCACACTATCTAATGAAGAGCTTCACTTAAAGCATAATGTGCTAGTCTCTAGGAAGTGCATTTTTATGGTGCTAAAAACTAGACTTGTGTATCAAGGGCCTTCCAACCAGCCAGCCAGTCAGCCAATGTTTGTTTGCTTTTTTCCTCCTGTGTTTATTGCCTTGTTGCATGTTTATAGTACAGTGAAGTTGTGTAGAGCTGGATGGTGGATTGGTTTGCTTAATTATTTTCTTCTTTAATGGCTTTATTTTGTCCACTTCTAAGGCAAATCAGATAACTCCTTTTATTTGGGGGGGGGGGGAGAGAGACTCATCCATGATATTCTTAAGGGTATGTACTTATCCAATACCCAAAGTGTCAGTCCAGGTGGTGGAGATAAAATGTATCTGACTTTCTTTGGAAACATAGGTAGCTGTTCCTCTTTGCAAACTCCTATGGCAGGAGCCCAGTCTTTCAGCTGGATGGTAGTGTCACATCTGGGAATTACTCATTTCCACTCTCCCCCCACTTTTTCCTTATTTGTGATATCAACAGAGATTGATTGCTCTCCATCCTATCTGTAGTTTTCTGAAGCTATGGTATTCCCTTGAATGAGAAGAAGATCAACAAATACTTTTTTGGTCTTTAAGGAAAACTTCATATTTTTTTTAAAGACAAACAAAAAGACCTAATATTAAAAAAACTAAAACAAGCTAAAAATTTCAATTGAAACAAACAAAATCTGCAAAAAAACTCTAACTCTATACCTAAAATAAGCAGGAAATAGCATTTGCAAGAGACAGTATTATCAGTGCCATACATGTGAAGATATCCAGTTGTAGATCACTGACAATAAAGGTATGGTTTCCAATTCCATTCACAGCGCTGAGATAATAAATAGCTTCTCCCCATGGAAAGCCACAGGGACAAGCAGGACCACCACCAAGCTCATTTCCTGAACATGAGGTGCACATAAAGATGATGAGATTGAAAAGCTGCCATATCAAGTTGCCAGTGTACCTTCTTTGGCAGATTTGGGATGAATCCTGGACAACGTTCTGGCTGCCTCTGTGGCATAAAGTTGAGTTTTGGTTGGTGAATATAAGGGTAGCAAAAACACAGCTAAAAAGCTTAAATCATATATATGACTGACAGCCATCTTTGGAAATTAAAACAATGTCCCAACTTTAACATTCAAAAGCTTTACTTGCAGAAACTTATAGATGGATTAAAACATAATATTTATAGTCACATGCTTTTCCAAGCACGGGATTACAGTCTTTTCTCCTAACTTCCAAACATCTGTATTTTCCTCCCTTTCAAAAGCTCAGCATTCAGCCTTCTTTTTCTCAATTAGGCCATGCATTACAGCTTTGCTCTTTCTTTCAAGCAGAGAGGAAGCACTCCAACATTCCATTCAGCTTAGCAGTATTCACAGTGGCTTCTAAAATATAATCATGTTGCTTCATTTTATATGGAGTCTCTTCTTCACTGGATACCTCCCATGTGACCAGTGTTGGCCAGTCACATGAGAACAACTAGAGAACTCTCAAGAATTCAGTTAGCAACCCATCAAATCTAAACACATAGCAATGCATAGAAGCATTTACAATTTCAGTGAACAAAATTACTATACCTAGGGTTGGTAATGCTTGAAGTCTCTTCCTGTGCTGATCTATTGTAGTTAGGGGCTTTGGTTATGTTTGGTAATTACCAAAGGAGGGCACTGAAAGTCCTCATCTATTTTATTTAGATCAGGCACCTCCAAACCCGGGACCTCCAGATGTTTTGGGACTACAATTCCCATCATCCCTGACCACTGGTTCTGTTAGCTAGGGATGATGGGAGTTGTAGTCCCAAAACATCTGGAGGGCCGAGTTCAGGGATGCTTGATTTAGACGATAAAAAATAACACTACCCTTTCTGCAGTACAATTACCCTCTGACAAGTACAACTTTTCAGACTGAATACACCATCTTTTGGCCTCCCACAGGCATTAGACAATCTCTTTCTGAACTACTGCTCTTTCCATCTCTCTCTCTCTCGTTCTCCTCCCAATTTTTGGGAGATCTGATTCATCAATCAAAACCGAGATGTTCCAGCAATATCCTTGAGTTTCATTTTAGTTCACGGGGATTTGCTTCAGCAACAAGCCTTTCAAAGCACACTGGTGTTAAGCTGCCAAGCTCTGAGCTCAAATCATGGTCCCTGAGGTTCAAGCCAATTAGTCCACTAGCTTTCCTACTTAAGCAAGTCCTCCAGCACCTTGGGACGAAAGAAAAACAAATGTGAATCACTGAAGCAGGAGACTCCGGGAAATATCATTTGTCATGCACAAGAATACTGAATTAGAGAATTAATATGATCATGAAGCTGAGGCCAGTTTTTCTAACACACTATTGGGTTTTTGTTCTTTGTTTTCCTGGTAGCTTCATGCTTCTAGGCTGCCAAGGTGCCCAGCAAAATTCTCTTTTTTAAAACAGTACTTCATGTCTGGAATAATCTAATCACCTACCAAGGTGTTTTGGTTTCATACCTTGAAGTTCCACAGTCCCCTTCAAGCATGTATAAGATGGCAAATGCCAAGAGGGCATTATTCAAACAAACCTGAATCCTGTGTTCTGTTGACTGTGTGCTTGATCAACTGGATCTGGTAAGGAAACCTGGCAATGCTGGATATCACGGATTTCTGTGCGAACTTTGAGGCTCAGGCTAAATATTATTTACATATTTTAGAAACATTAAACCACCCTTCATTTAAAACACAAAAGAGCTTTACAACACATCAATACCCATAGTATAAAAAGTTAATTAAAGTCTAATAAATGTCAATAAATTCAGCAATAATTGCAGTAGCAACTTAGACAGTTCTTAGTGGCTTGGTATCAATAACCAGCAAAGGCCTGGGTGGGGTGCCAAAAAAAACTGAATGAAGTTGGTGCCTGCTTTATCTCAAGTAGGAGATGATTCCATAAAGGAGGTGCAACAATCTTTGGTTGCTGCCAGATGGACTTGTACAGTCTGTATTTTGTCTTCTCATTTATTTATTTATTTATTTATTTATTTATGTTGTGAATCACCCTGTGATCTTCAGATGAAGGGCAGTATACAGAATTAATTAATAAATATGGGCAAAGGCATTCCTCTAGGTAACCAGATGCCCAGTTTTTTGGAGCTGTATAGGTCAGCAACAGAACCATAAACTGGGCTCAGCAGCAAACTTTTAGTTGGTGCTGATATTTGAGCATGCATTTGCAACAGGCTGGTCTACTTATAAACCGCTGCCTTTTGCAAAAGGTCCAAAAGAGGAAAAGTCCCAGGGCCCCACTCTTTTGAACTAGATGACAACTGCAGTGTCTTTGTGTAAAGGACCCCTGGATGGTTAAGTCCAGTCAAAGGTGACTATGGGGTTGCAGTGCTTGTCTCGCTTTCAGGCCAAGGGAGCCAGCGTTTGTCCACAGACAGCTTTCCAGGTCATGTGGCCAGCAGGACTAAACTGCTTCTGGCACAACAGAACACCTTGACGGAAACCAGAGCACACAGAAACACTGTTTACCTTCCCGCCACAGCAGTACCTATTTATCTACTTGCACTGGTGTGCTTTCAAACTGCCAGGTTGGCAGAAGCTGGGACAAAGCAACGGGAGCTCACTCCATCATGGGGATTCAATCTGCCAACCTTCTAATCAGCAAGCCCAAGAGGCTCAGTGGTTTAGACCGCAGTACTACCCACG